GTCGCTGCAGGAAAAAAGTTTTGATAAAGGGGGTGGGGGTTCGGCTGTCTCCGGAAGGCACCGGGATGTACCTTTATGCGCAAATGGTCATAATCAAGGTGTTGTTACGCGAGCTGTGCCACAGTGAAATGGAACTACTCGAGTAGCCAAAGCAACAGAGATATAGTCGGTGGTTTCACGACCGAAGGATGTCGAATACCGCCTCCGGGGATCCATGCCTGCCCTTTGATGTCGCTTGATCTGCCGCCTACATGTACTGGTGGATTCTGCGGTTGTCGTCGCCGCGGCCGCGGCGGCTGCTGCCGCTGCAGCGGCCGCCGCCGCCGCCGTCGCTGCCGCAGCCGCTGTCGTGGCCGCGGCTGTGTAGCCGTGCAGCGTCGAAGTAAGGGTCGGCAAGGCAGGCGAGGGGGAGGTAGATAGCCTGCGATGCGTCCCCCTTGCAAACAGGGGCGGAAGGGGAGGGGGGGTGCGGAGAGGGGTCAACGGGTCATAGGTGCAGCTACCAACGAGAGGGTGTGATAAACGCACCACATGGAGGACACCCTGGGCCGGAGACATGCTTGCGCCAGCGTCGCCGCAGATCGCCGCTGCGCATGCCGCCCGAGTCGCTGCCGAGGGCGGCACTGGCGGCGGAGGCATCATGATGTGACCTGCAGGCTGCCCGTCGCCCCCGGCGGAGAGCTCAATCTGATTGGCAAGGCTGCTAAACTGCTCAGTGCTCTGAGCGAGGCCGATGACACAAGCCCTTTCTCGCACATGCAGCTCCAAGTTTCCGAGGCGTTCGTCGACCCTAGAGATAAGCTCTGCCGTTGTCGCCAGCGCGATGGCCTGCTTCCGCTGCAAACGGCGACTTTCAGCGATCTCATCACGGAGTCGATCAAGTAAGGATTTGTCGTTGGCCGACAGCATTTTTCGAGCTGGCTATTGGAAATCTCGACCAGCTTGTCGACCGACTTGTCCGAGTTAGGTCTACTCGTCGCGGCGGTCCCTCGGTGTTAAGCTTCGCCATTCGAGACGCCGTTCACAACCTTCAAAATGATTTTCCTTTCACGCTCACAGCTATCTCTCTCAGCGCGCACCCATCACGCATCAGCAACAGCATCACCCGTCAGGCCTGAGACATGGTGCACACTGAGGGCTTGGACACCACCAGTCTCGTACAGCGCACGCACGATTGACGATTCGAGAACGAAGAAATGAGGGCCGGAGGACACAAACGGCCTGACTGCCCCCGCCCCTCCCACGCCGCCGCCCCGCGCGCCCCTCCCCTTCCCAGAGAGCAGACCGACCCCGAAACCGCACCTCCCTCCCCCCACGCCCCTCTGCCTGCGCGGCCAACTAGCGCGCCAAAAGCTCGCGAGCCCGAGTCCGAGGAGCTCGAGCAACTCTTCGCCCCGCAAGAGCACTCCAGGGTCGCACCTCGTTCTGCCGGGATCAGACGAGCGGCAGGGGGGGGGACTCCTTGCTGCGGCGGCGGCGGATGGTGATGATGGCGAGGGCGAT